GTAAGGCTTGGAGATGGCGCTTGGTGTGAAGCCGAAGCGTTTCGCGATGGTGTCGGCGTACTTCTCGGCGCTTAGATAGATTGCGTTTTCTTCCTCGCGGATGTTGAGCCCGAGGTACTGCGTAACCGTAGAAGAGACCGTGAGCGTGAGATCTTTCTGAAGCTCCCCTTCGAACCACATGGCGATGCCGTCGGTTGACCCAATGTAGAGGAGATCGTCCACGTAGACGATTAGGAGAACGTAGTCGCTTCCCTTTGTGAGGCGATACATGCCCTGGTCATGCGGGAGTTGTTTGAAGCCGATGCGGATGAGGCGGGCGTGTAGGTACTGCTGCCACAGTCGCGGTGCCTGCTTGATCCCGTAGAGCGACTTAAGCAGTTGACAGACTCGGTTGGGTTCGCCGTGGGAGCCGTGCGTGAGCTCGACGAAGATTTCTGCATCAACAGGTGCGTAGAGAAATGCGTTTGCGACATCGATTTGTCGCAGTTTCTTTTTCTTCATGGCGGCGACGGCGATGAGGATTCGGAGTGAGGTGTGACGGCTGACCGGAGCGAAGGTTTCGGTGTAATCTCTTCCGTGCTCCTGGTCAAAGCCGCGTACGACCCAGCGCGCTTTGAATTTGTCGATGGTGCCGTCAGCTTTCGTCTTCACACGGAAGACCCACTTCCCGGTAAGGATAGTCTTGTTTTGTGCTACGCCGATGGGAACGATTTTCCAGGTGTTGCGCTCCTCCAGTGCCTTCAGCTCTTTGTCCATGGCTTCACGCCATTTCTCCCTATGTTCCCCCCCCAGAGCCTGCTGAACCGTCGCAGGCTCCTTAGGAATGGCGGCGCCATGGACTGCGGTGACGAGACCAAGGATTTGCAGCCCAGTCTGTGAGTATCGAGGGAGTTCTGGATCCTCGGGATAAGCTGCTTCGTCTCCCGCTTCTGGGTCGGGTATGAAATTTGGCCCTACCCTTTCTGCTTCGTTGGTGTTGACTGTCGCAGGTGTTACGTAACCGTTGTCGGCGAAATGGTAGAAGACTTCGGCGTTGTTACTGTCGCGAGGATTATCCTCATCCATGGGCACGTCGACGGAGCAGTACGGAAGAGGTCCGGCTTCCTCCGAGGCGTTGTCAACGTTCTGTTCGTCCCAGTCTGCTTCATCCGCTGCTGATGCGAAGGCTCGGTCACCACGAAAGCCACCGGTGAGGTCCCGATTCTCGTGCAAGTTGGCGAGGTACGTCTGAAGGGTGAGTCGTTCGTAGAAGATCACATCACGTGCTGCTACTGTTTCTTTTGTGTGGACGTTGAAGATTCTCCACGCGTTGTAATTTTTCTCAATGCCGAGGTGTAGTCCCCACTGTGCCCGTTGTGAAAATCTTCCCGCTCGTGCTTCTGGGGGTCTGTACTGTACCATGCACCCAAAAACTCGTAACATTTTTGTGCTGCCCTGCTTCCCTGTCCACAGCAGATGCGGTGATGCGTTGTTCGGGAGTGACGGCGACGACAGCAAGTTGTGCAGCATGACAGCATGGTCCATTGCTGCTGGCCACTGGTGGTTGGGTAGCCGCATGCCACGTAACAGTTTGCGCATGTTGTTCTGCAGAGTCCTGTTCATTCTTTCTGCTACACCTTGCTGCTGATGTGCGTAGGGAAGGGAGAGGAGTTGCTTGATCCCCCTTTCCGCCAGGAACTGCTTGAAGCGCTGAGAGGTGTACTCGCCACCTCCGTCTGACTGGAAGCTTTTCAGTTGCGTTCCAGACTCTCTCTCTGCTATCGGTAGCCAGGCGGCGAATGCTGCGAGCGCCATGTCGCGGCTGGGTAGGTTACGATGTCAGACATATCGAGTGGCGGCGTCGATGAAGGTGATGGTGTAGTTGTAGTTGACTTGTCCTGGTTCGCGATTGTAGAGGATGTCGCTGTAGACCTTTTCGAGTGGTGCGTACGCTGGAGCGCTCGGGTTGTGATGTGGAGCAAACGGTCGATGAGGTAAGTCAGCTTCGGGGCATATAAGGCAAGTCCCTCGTGCCTTTTGGAGTTCTCTGCCATCGGGTAGAAGTAGGGAGTCTTTGTCAAGAACTCCTGCTCTTATCGTGTTATTTAAAACTGTGTTGCTTGGATGTCCTGTGCGTGCGTGCCAGATCTCTTCAGAGGCGCGGTGTCCGGGTGAACGTTGGTATGCGTCGGAGTTGGAGTAAAAACTGGCGACGAAGTTGGCGCTTCGGTGGACTTCACGTTGAGTCGGCTTCAGCTGTTGCGCGGGTGTTGGTGGTGCTTCGTCGACTGTGACTGGTGTTGTTGTTCCTGCTACTGCTGATGTTGTCTCTGCTGCTGCCGATTTTGTTGCTGCTGTCGATGTTGTTGCTGCTTCTGATGTTTGTTGAATCGTCGCTAACGCTCTTGTTCGTTCTGCTTCAGGGATAGTGTGGGAGTACCAAAAACCTCCCGGGCTGAAGTCGGGGTCGAGATCCGGAGGGTGTGTCCAGTCAGTAAAATTCACGATGGCGTCGCTGTCT